CGGTTCGATTACGATTATCATGTCATCGATTCGGTTCAATTCGATATCACGATGCACTGCATCCTCAATTTTCAATTGTACTTCACATGTATAGCCTACAATTTTGTCAATAAATACAAGCAGTCTGATATATGAACTGAACTTTTAATTTTACCTGCTCAAAGATAACATGCTTCTTGAATGTATAATTTTTGTCTGAGCTCGGTCCACCTTGGCACTGACAGGCGTTAACAGCTCAGGGTGAAAACGGCTGACATGGTTTCTCAAGTTAGTGGTATTACCATAGCTATATATATATATATATACAGTATACATAGATGCCTCATTAGCGACTGTTTCTATGGGCCGCAAAACATAAGCCATCTGCCATTTTTGGAAAGGTCTGCGAACCCTCGAGCGCAAGTTGACTGTGTGCGTCTACAACAGCAAGTTATATGCATCTATATCTTTGAATATACATTGATTATTATGGTGAATGACGTCAAGTTGACCATTCCAAAATGGCAGACGTGTCAACGTATCTGGAGCAGTCGAAAAGAGCATCTATACATATCTATGGGTATAAACCCCTGCATATTTTATTTGTGCGTGACATGGTTTACACACAGTGTGTGTCTTCTCCAGGTTGTGCATAAAAGCTGAAATGTGCCCAGATGTCGGCTTTTAAAGTAGTTGGAGCATTTTTAATTACTCGCTTGCGTCTCACCTCCCTCCGCCATTGTATGCTACCGCGACAAAGCACGCATGCGACAAATGACATCAGAAAAGCGTCAGTACGTTATAATCGATTATGGTTTATTACTCAGGGCTCTGCAGTGCGATCATTTCAGTCGCATTTGCAACTGAAAAGTACTGCGTGCGACTATGAAAAATATTTAGGAGCACCAGTACGACTGACCAGATCTTCTTCATATATTTGTGATTGTGATCGCTGAGGGGAGCTTCAAAGGTTACTACATGTTTTTGCAGCGTTGAGTAATGAATCACAGACATATCTCATGAATCCTTTCATAAGCAAAGTGTAGACGGTGTAAATAAAAGATTCATTGTGCGGTGTAGAGCGCTTCGTTGATTATAAATGTGAGATCGAGATGAACATTTTTTTTAAAGTCTAAGTCTTGAAGTCTTACAACTTACAGCTTGTTACACTATTTTAAATATTCAGACTAGGCTTTCTCAAGCCAACATCAAAGTAGTTTGTCTACAAACTTTACTGTTTATTTTCATGTTCTGTTTTGTTTAATTGTTTTTTAATTTATTTTTTATTTGTTCTATTAAGTTTCTATTTTTTTATTGTAGTAACATTTTATTATTACCATTTATTTTACTTATTTTAAGCAGATGTTCTTTCTTTAATGCAGTTTTAAAGTGCAACAAATCGTCTTGCAGGGTCAGTCTCACACATTAGGTCACATTTCACCAAAATATCTAAATCAGGAAAAAATTGCATTCATTAAAGGAATCCTGTCTTTTATCTATTTCGATTTTTATGGCATTTTTAAGAAAAGTATGAGTTAATACTGTTATACAAAAGTGTAAACCTTGTGTACGGCTGCATTTTTTTGTTTATGAGTAAACTTTGTCATCATGGCTAGACAATGAAAACACTGTCCACAGGACTCATTCTGTAATTATAACCCAGCGTTGCTAAGAGTTCATGTGAGATGTTTTTTTATTCACTGTTATTACTCTGATCGATGTCTGTCTCTTTGAAGTGTGTGGTGGGTGGGTGCAATGCCACCTTCGCCTCCCAGGGGGGGCTAGCGCGCCACGTGCCGACCCACTTCAGCTCACAGAATTCCTCCAAACTCTCAAGCCAAACCAAGGTGAAGGAAGAGTCACCTTCCAAAGCGGGCATCAACAAACGGAAGAAACTTAAATACAAACGGCGGCGGTCATTGCGTGAGTGTTAGTGAAATTTCAATCAAAGCTTAATTCTGGGTTCAAAACTCTCGCTTTCTAATTCCAATCTGTTTCCTCCCTACAGCACGACCTCATGACTTTTTTGACGCTCAGACCATGGATGCAATCCGTCATCGCGCCATCTGCCTCAATCTAGCGACTCATATTGAGAGCCAAGGCAAAGGCCACAGCGTTGTGTTTCACAGTACGGTGGGTACCAAGTTACAACAATTAAGCATGCTACTCCTTATATCTGTTGTGCTTAATATGTAAAGCCTGTATTTTACACTTTACAGTGTGTAGAATACCTACATTTATTGGTTCACTATCGATCAAACTACCAAATATTAACACAGTGAGGTCACGTGACAAAACCATGACATACTACTGTTTACTTAACTTTGTATTGCACATTGAATACTGTTTCAAATACTTTTTGTTTTTTAGTATAAACAGTAAGCAGTATCCTGGTACTTGTGTATTGATTTCTTTTTCCAATCAGTGTCTTTGCTATAGTGTGTATCCTTGTTTTGTTGAGGAAAAATAGTATTCAGCATGTAGTATACACTGCTTAGTATGCAGTGTACTAGTATTCCATTCCAAAAGCAGCCCATGTCGCTAGTATAGAGAATAAACTTGTTTTTAGACAAATGTCTAGTTTCTGTAATGAATTAGTTTTTTTATTTTTATTTCATATGCTAAACATTTCATCAGCATGATCGCTTTTCTTAGCAATTAGTCCTTTCTAAACCACACCGTAGCTCTGAGCTGAAGTCAGACTTGCTTGGACTCTCATGGTCCAGTTAGCCTGGGCCGCTGCTCTTCCTGTGTCTTTAATTAAACGTTTAATGAGCTGCCGCCAGCACACAGGCCCTCCTGTTCACGGCCACAGTCGCCGCTTGGCCTGCTGCTCCCAACACCACATGAAAACCGTCCCACAGCACACAGCCAGTATGTAGCATGGAATTAACCTATAAAGGAGATCTCATGCATTCCTTCTCATCGTGTGTAATTGAGCAGGTGATCGCCAGGCGGAAGGAGGATTCTGGGAAAGTGAAGGTGCTGCTTCATTGGATGCCAGAGGACATGTGAGTATATGAAAGTGCACTGCTCACCTCAATGCCCTGCACTAAATGTCAGCCGTTTATATGAGTCACGGGCCACTTGAGGGCGGCCTTACGCACTGATGATTCAAAACACACACACACACACACGTATGACTTGATATATGTGACAGGCTGATGGTTCTGAGGCTCCTTAAATCACATTAACTGCCTCAAAAACACATACAGACTGATCTATAGCTGACTGTGTAGATATTGTTAATCCCAAAGGAGAAGTTTAGCATTTTTCCCTCAAGCGTGTTTGTGTCCCACTGTGCAGAGAGATACATGTGAGCACTGTGCAGAAAGTATACCTTACTATATAGTAAGGAAATATGCATATTTGGACAATATTATGCTACAATTATCAAATGACCTTTATTTAATTGGTGTCCAGTTCTCATCCCATTATTAACTATTGTTTTGTATAAAAACATCGCCATTCTGATCAAATAATGAGCCACTAAAGGAACTGGTTGATGCGTTTCTTCTGTTTCATTCATTCCACTTGAATTAAAAGTTCAGATTTAACACATTGCATTGTGGGATACAGTATCTGACCCAGTGTGCTCTGTATACATGACATTTTGGCAAGCCAAGTGTTGGTCGCTGGGGAATTTCATGCTTACAGAAACGTTCTTGTTTTAGAAATGGTAGATAATGTGCCAACAGGCCATTTCTCCCCATTTTCACACACTTTAATTTTGTCTCTCAATCACGTTTCTCTTCTTGCTGTCTCGCTGAATCCATGTTTTCATTTTCTTCTGTTGTCTTCAGTGATTTTTTTCCTCACCCGAGCATGCAGATTCAGATCAGTTTCCAGTTCTATGTGGTAAATGTCCGCATTACTGTCAGATTTAATGCATTGAAAAGCGCTGACCTGCGTGAAACACAACCACCTGGAAACAAACTCGCTTTTCATTGAAGTTTGTCCAAGATAAAAAACCTTTTAAAGGTTATCCACTTGCTCTCAATATTTCCATGGCTTAGACGAGAGGCCTTTGAACACATTACCCGTAACCGTAACCATCCTCAGATTTCCACTCTAATTTTACCATTTTGTGAGCTGCTTTCTTTAATCTTGATGTGCAATTTAAACTGGTTTTAAATATTAAACGACTTATATGGTTAATGAGCCTTGCTGCTAATTGTACTGTTGAATTTACATTTGCACTGCAGCTAAAATGGTCCATGTTGTGATAATTGATGCACTTGCATACCTGTACACTTGAGCAAACCTGTGCATGTGGACGCTGCTATTCCGAGTCGGGCATCAATCTGAGCCGGAGGAATGTTTGTCAGCTCAGCGATTACACTGAAGAAGTTGTCGTCTCAGGAGATGTTTAAAATGGATTTCTGGGTCTCCACAACAAGCCCGAGCCAAACAAGGCTCCTCTGTGGAGAGGAAAAAAGGAAAACATTTTTCATAAACTCATTGTGGAATGCGTGTTGGAGGAGAGGGTGGAATGAAGGGCTGTGTGTCTGTGTGTTATCCGGCAAATGCTAATATTTATCCGTAGTGTATATTTTTAAGCCATGATTTGAATTAAGAACGTGCATACTGTTTACATACTGTATGCACACTAGTATATTTTTCTGTAAGTACTGTAATTGATCAAAAGGTTGCTGGTGTAACCCTACACTGTATACTATTCATGCATTTTAGACTAGGAATTTTGCATTTGTACTACATTTTAGGCAATAAGATAAAATAGTAAGTCAAGATGATGTTAATCATGGTTGATATGTATCATTATTTAATTACGTCAGAAATTGACAGCCTAGCACATTGCATTCTGGGACGTCCTATGCAATGTGCCCTGGTTGTATTCTGCACGTTTTAGCATATGTAGTATGTTGAGTGCATTGCATTATAATATAGGATATAGTATCCTATGCAGTATGTTCTAGTTGTGTGGGATTCAATATCCCACAATACATTGCGTTCAATATACTACAAAATCTGGGAAATTGTATTTTTGTTATACTATACTGCACATTTTGATGTAGTATGTTGAGCACATTGCATTACTGTATATTGTATATTCACATTTTGACCTACAGAACAATTGCATACGATGTACAAAATGCATACTTTTTTCTAATTCATTGCTTTTCTGAATGTGCTTTCAAAAAATGGCCCATGTTAAATATTTCTTTCTGTTGTGCACAGACTTCCAGACGCCTGGGTCTGCGAGAGCGACCATCCCCAGCTGAAGACCAAAGTGGTCCACCTCTCCCAGCTTCCTCAAGACACGGCGGTTCTGTTGGACCCCAACATCTACAGGTGATCTACACTAGCAGCTCACTCAAACTTTACCCGTAGCGTTCAGAGCGCAGGAGCCATCGACTTCCATGTTCGGGCCATGTGTTTTGAAGTTCTCAACGGGAGCCACTGCTTTCCTGTTAAAGGCTCTTTATGAATTTCTCCAGCAGATGGTGCTGGTGTCACTGCAACTAGAACCGGCCTCTCCCCAAACCCAAACATACGCTCTAAAACTCAGGGGGGACGTGGGTGGGAGATCAATAACCTTCGATACGAGAGGAGACGTTAATTAATCATAAAGCTGATGATACAATCCGCCCGGGTCAAAGATACTTTAAAGTCACCTTTGACCTCCTCCCACAGACATAAACGACGATTCCAGGATTGTTTCCCTCGTTAGAGCCGCTATTAATCGATAGTAATGCATCAATTCTTTGCAGTAGGAGTTTGTTTACCCAGACTCTCGCACTGGTGTGGAATGTGATGCTTTCTGAGCATGTGGTCAAGATGATCACTTTGTGGGCGGAAGCGCATGTATTCATGCATGTTAATGACAACATGGATGTCTTCAGCTCCCCACGGAGCGGTAAATAACAGGACAGATGCCCGTCATCTTCAGGAGCCTGGCATGCTCTGATGAGCATCTTTATGCATCGTTTTGCCGCTTGCGGTACAGAAATGCAATTAGAAATGACGTGGTTGGTTCTTGTGTGTGTGCATCGTACTAAAGCAGGTTGTGCTTGTTTTCAGGATGTTTTTCTAGAAGACTGGGTGGGGAGGGTGGCTTCTGTCAGCGCCTGTTGACGTACCCAAACCGAAGTGGATGCGCGGATCTTTTGAGACGGGACTTCTTTTCCCTTTGCTTTTTTCCCCTCCACTTTCTCCTTTTTTTTCTTTTTAATGCTCTGAGTCTGCCAAAGCATGCAGTGAATTTTTAATGTGTGTTTTTATCCCTTGAAGAGGAAAAAAAGGCACAAAATTGTGAACTCTGTCGGTGCTGGACTTTTAACTGTCTGGGAGGATGTGTTGTACACCACGGTTTTGCTTTGATTTTCCTTCCCTGCATCCTCAACTCTGCTGATTATCTTTTGCTTTTTTCGTGAAAAAAAGTGCCCATGTAAATATTCCAGGAGATTTGTAATATATTTTTGTAATGCGGAGATTTTACTGTACTGTAGATAGATGTAATAAGCCACAAGCTGACAGAAAACATAATTGTACAGATTGTGATAGCTAATAGTTTTGGATGTAAATGCTTCCATAGATGGTTTTGCTGCCTTTTTTTTTAGTATGAGTTTTTTTTTTCTGAACATGCGCACAGACTCTTATAACTGCTGCTCCACCTACTGATGATGATGATGATGGGATGTTATCGTCCTCCCGCATGAGCCGCTTGTGCGTTCTGCTCAACCCAAGGAGTGTATAGACATCTCAACGTAATGGTGCTAAAGCTAACACTAGCGCTCAGGCTAATGCACATAGGAGAACTATAGGATCAATAATGATGGTGCTTCTTAGATCATGTACTTAATAATCCCCTGTTTCCCATACTTATAGATCATACATCTGTCTTTGTAGTAAAGTTGAAAATTATATATATTTTTGTTTGCTTGTTTGTTTGATTCTAGCCCATATAAACCTTGTGTTTCTCACACAGGACTGTTGTTTATTAGCAGTGAGGAGGCCAGGGGCATCTGGGAGTCATTTTATTGGGGCAGATTTGCAAGCGTTGACGCGGAGGCTGTCTGCCAGGACCTTTAGCTCAGCGTCAGACCATGCACATGCCCTCCCAATAGGACTGGCTGGTTTAGTCGACACCTGACCGTGTGGTGTGGTGTGGGGGGGGGGTTTAGTTTATTCTCTCATTCTCATCTATTGTCGCACTTGGTTTGGGTTTTCAATCATGCTGAATTCTCACATCTTTATTCAGGGTTTCTGCAGGTCTTAAAGTTGTCCTTCCACAAAATGAGGCGTTAAATATGCTTTAAGGGTTTCAATGTTTTTTGTTTTTCAATATGAATATCTAAACTTCCTTTCAACACATTTACCTGATATGCAAAATTACATTAGAAGTCTTGTTTTCTGAGAAACTGAACAGAATTAACAGCGCTTAAAACAACTACACAGACCTGCCAAAAATTGTTTTTCACTTTTGAATTAAGTGGATTATTCTGAGCCCATTGGCAGATATTTGTTTTTGTTTTAATCATAAACTTATGTAGATTTGTTGGAAGTTGTATTTTCAAAACTTGAAATATTGCCAATATAACTCATTGTGACATTTTCGGTCAAAGATGAGACGTCCCATTTTGTCAAATTAAATGTACAAGTGACTTCATATACATATAAACCATATTAAAAGTAAGTGTCTACTTTAATGCTTTAAATAACTTTGGAAATAAAATGACAAAATAAGGGTGAAATAATGTTCCATTGTCATTCAGCATAACAGATATATTTATGTATTTATAGTTTATTTAAAAATGAGACAACATGTACTTATTAAAATATATAAAAGAAAAAGTGGTCATACTAAATGTTATGTTTTAAATGATAAATTCTTGCCGGCAAATGGGTAAAACCTAGTGGTTTGAACGATGGTGGCAAAGATTGGTAGAGACGTTTTGGGGGCTGCAATAACGTCATCTAATGATTATTGTTATAAATATGCCTGACAATATATTTTGGTATATAAACTATTGTTATGCTAAATTACATTTTAGTGGCTGTCTTGTGTAAATTATGGAAAAAATGTGGGATAGTCATTTTTTTCTTAAAAAAAAATACAATAAAAATAAACAACACTTTCTAATGTATGGGAAAAAATGAAAGCTGCATTAAACTTTTGATGTTTTGGTGCTTGAAAACCCCTTTTCTTCTTTGATCCATTTACATTTAGAGAGCATATTGATGTATTGTGTTCCCTTCATATTCCCTTTACTTCGTCTTAAAGTCTTAAATCTACCTTCATAAACCTGCAGAAATCCTGTTATTAGTGTCGAGTTATTGGTGTACAGTGTTTTGTTTCTTGCACAAACGCATTGGATTCGTGCTGCATTTTTTGGTGTTCATGTAACGGTGTAGTTGTAGTCAGCGTTCTCATCCAATATAATCAAACGTGTAGATCGTATTTGGGCCTGTGTTTGACTTTCCAAATGAGTTTTTATAGTCTTAACTCTAACGTACCACTGAGTAACAAGCGTGTCTTAATTGCGAGTAATACACAGCAGCTGCGGTCTGTCAGAGCGCGTACAATGGGACTGTTTGTCCTAAAGAAACTATATCATCAGAGCTGCACATGACTCCTGTGCTTTTATATTACTTATTTATTCTTTAGGAGAAATTGCTGAAAATACACCCTGCCCTAAATGTGCTAAACCACTTAGAGAATTAAGGTGAAATATTAAATAAATAAAAATTGCTAAAGGGGAAGTGTGTAATGTATGCACCATATAATAACCCCCAGAGCAGGAAGTAAAAAAACAAATGTTTGCTGTTAATGATGAAGATTCATTTTCATAAAAAAACAAAATTTATAATACAAAGGTGTCTTGGCCATCTTCTCTTACAGAATGTTATAGATATTTTAAAATGATTTTGAAGTTTTAAGATGCTATTTTGGTGTCGCAATTTGGTAAAACACTGGGGAAAGAAGGTTTTAGCATCATTTGAAGTACTATTATCATTTGTATGAATATTTTTAATGCTTTTGTTTTGTAATTTCTGTTTTTGTATTTTATTTTAAAGTTTTATTAATTTGGCTGTGTTTTTAGTCTTCATTTATATTTATTTTGTTTGTGTGTGTGTATATATATTACTTCAAGAAGTTTAATTATGGTTTGTTGTAGTTAACGATGTCTTGTTTCCCATTTTATTAACAGATTAACAGTTTTATTTGATTGATTCTCAGGCATATTTCAGAATATAACACAATAGATCTATACAGAATCAAGATATTTACCCTGTTAACAAACACACCACGCAGCATGATTTTTATTGAAATGGCAGTTTTTTTCTAACTTTATTTTCTGTTATAAGTACGTTTTTAATAACACATAGCCTATGTTCATTCCTCTGCGTAAGGTGCTATAAATAGGTAAGATGCTCACCAGTGTTTAATGTGCACACGTCACAATCTAATTATTTGTGCTAAAAAGAACGTCTGCAGAAACTCCGCTTTCCTGAAGGCATGTTTTAACCGCTGATGACCCAGTATGTGATGCTGAATATAAAAGCTGCTTCTAAACAACCAGAAGTTTTTGGATTATATTTAGTTTGTTAGTATTAGACTGTTTGACATTTCCATAAAATGTACAGTTACTTGGAGCCTCTAAATGTTATTGTGATGTATGTAAGATTTAAAGATTACAGTAACTCTACATAGCTTTACTGGTGGTTTATAATGAACGAAAGCCTCGAAAACCGTATGCATTTCTATTTGGGCAGTTCCATCATATTGCACATTTATATGCACGTATAGATGTCTTTATTATGGTATGGCTATATTCAGACGCTCCTGAAGCATCCGACTCTTGTTTTCACACTGTTATGCCATTAGCACTAATGCTTTCTCTCCAGGGCCTTTGAAGAGAAGGTAAGCAAGTAACCTAAATCTGTTTGAAGCGCAAGCGAGAGCATATTTCACTCCAGCTCTGATTTTGCTGTGCAGTTAAGGGTCCATTTACATCCATTCCCTCACACGCTCTGTCCCCTGACGAACCTCCCGCGTGTTTCTCACGGCTGACGCGCTCGTGTGGGCCTTATTGAAGCGTTTGGGAGGGATGAAAAGAGAAATATCATATCCAATAACTAATGGAGACAAGAGCGCACTTTTTTTCATAGTAACAGGCTCTCTCTCTCACCTTAGATTCTGGCTCTGTTTCAAAACTTAGTGAGCTGCCTTTTCCAGTTTACGTCCTACGTAGGAGAGAACTTTTAAGGCAACATCCAAAATGAAAATAAACCTAACAAGGGACTAATGTAGCACACTAGATGGTGATAGAAATGGTGCTCTTTTCTAG